AGCCAGGCCACCCTGGGCACTGCCAGTCGGGTCATCCAGACGGCACAGACCACCCCCATCCAGACAGTCACCATCGTGCCGCAGCCACCTCTAGGTCAGCACCAGCTTCCAATAAAAACTGTAACACAGAACGGGACTCACGTGGTGCCAATCCCCGCAGCCGTGCACGGCCAGGTGAACCACGGTAAGCAGCGGGCACCCTCCCCTCCTTTCCGAAGGGCACGCTCAGCGTTCCCGTCCGACTGTTAGCACAACGGTTAGAGCCCCAACCCCGCAGACTCTGGCCGTGCTGGTGGGAGTGGCTCTCAGGATCCCCGTGGAGGGGCCGAGCGGAGGAGCGTCTGGAACAGCCTAGAGAAGAGTGCTCCCCCTTGGTGTGCGGACTTGCCTGTGGCCTAGAAGCAGCCTGAGGCTTGGGAGGTGTCCCTGCGGTGTCCTCGCTGACCTGTGCCGGGCAGTGTCCCCCAGGGGAGTGTCGGGCGTGGTCGTGTGGACGGCTCACTGAAGCCTGTGGGTGTCGCTGTCCACCGGGTCCTGATGGGGTGTGTGGAGAAGACAGACAGATGGAGGGGCTTGGCTCTGGGATAAGAGACAGAGGCGTCTTGGTATTTTTGTCAATGGGATTGTTTTTTCATTTCCTTTTTAGTTTGTTCATTGTAGAGAAATACAGCGGGTTTTTGTTTTGATCTCATCCCCTAAGCTGCTGCGTTCGTTTTCTCGTGTGATTTGTTGGATTTTCTATGTAAGACACGTCCCCTGCCAGTGGAGACAGCCCGGCTTCCTCTTCCTGTGTCCTGGCCGGGGACAGCGCAGAGGCGGGCCCTCCTCGCCCTCCTCCCAGGGGAGCATCAGCTTGCACCCCGAGGCTGATGCTGGCTGCAGGGCTGTCCTGTCGGGACTGGAGGATGCTGGGAAATTTCCCTTCTGCTGCTGCTTTGCCCGTAGTTTGTCGTGAAAGGTGCTGCGTCCCATCCAGTCCTTTTCTGTGTGAGGAGGACCCAGGGGTTCTTCCCTCTGTTCCTTGTGTTCCTGGCATGAGCCCCACGTGGTCGTGGTGAGGAGCCTTCGACAGGGTGCGACCTGGGTTTGCTGAAGCTCGGTGGAGGGTGTTTGTATCCGTGTTCGTCAGGGATGCTGGTTGGCTGTTTTCCCGCAGTGTTTCTGGCAGCTTCTGGGGCTGCTCTCCCCACTGGACGGGGTTCTGGGCTCTGTGGGGGCAGAGCTGTCACTTCTCCAGGCCCCTGTGTGCTCGTCCTTCTCGGGGGGTGAGGCGCCGCAGGTCCTCTGCTGCCGGGCCCCACGCCCTCGGGCCTGAGGGTGGAAGGGCAGGACCCCCCAGAGGACGCTGCTGCCTGGGTCATGCGTGCCAGGTGTGCGCTGTCGTCTCTGGCTCCCTCAGCCCAGTCCTCCTCTCCCTTAGAGGCCGTGGTGCTTTCTCAATGCAGGGCCACCCTCTGTTCACCGCCTGGAGCTTGCTGGGGGCCCAGAGCCTGGGGCAGGTGGAGACGCTGTGCCCAGCAGGGACGCCCCATGTTGGCCTACGAGGAGGGAGGGCCCGTGGTTGCGGTGGAAGCCAGGGAGAAGCTGGGAGCCGGAGCCCCGTGCCTGCTCCCTCCTCCTGTGTGGAGAGGTCGGCATCCGGCACGGAGGGGGGTCAGGGCTCCTTGGCCATCACAGCAAAGCCATCTGCTGTTGGGCCCACCTTTGCCTCACCCTGAGCCTCAGTCTCCCCTGGGTTCTGTCAGGATGGCGCACTCTCCGGTGATAAAAACGAAGTCAGCTGTTACCAGAACGCCCACCGTCAGCCCCGGGCAGAGGGCGGCAGGGTTACCCGCTCAGTCCCCGCAGGGCACATGCCCAGGTTGTGGGTTTGATCCCTGGCTGGGGTGTGTAAACATGGATCAGGGCAACAGATCCATGTTTCTCTCCCTCTCCCTTCCTCTCTCACTAAAAAATCAATTAAAAAATATATTTTTTAAGTATCTTAAGAGCCTGGCTGGCGTGGCTCAGTGGTTGAGCGTCGACCCAGGAGCCAGGACGTCACTGTTCAATTCCTGGTCAGGGCACATGCCTGGGTTGTGGCATCCCCAGTGTGGGGCATGCAGGAGGCAGCCGATGCATGATTCTCTCTCATCGATGTTTCTCTCTCTCAAGTCAATAAAAAATATATTTTAAAAAATGCATCTTAAGAAAAATAACCCACAACCATGCAGTCTATTTGCCCAGGCTCCTTCCCCTCGGCCATCAGGGTTGTGCAGGTCACAGGGGAAGCTGACATAGGCAGAGCCCGGGTCTGACTCACTGTCTCTCTGCAGCAGCGGCGAGTCCTCTGCACATGCTGGCGACACACGCCTCAGCCTCGGCCTCCCTGCCCACCAAGCGCCAGAATGGAGACCAATCAGAGCAGCCGGAGCTGAAGCGGGTCAAGACTGAAGACGGCGATAGCATCGTCATCGCCCTGAGTGTGGACACGCCTCCAGCGGCCACGAGGGAGAAGGGCGTCCAGAACTAGCGGCCGAGAGCTTTCTAACTTTCCTGTCAACTCTGGTGCCAAAAGGAGACACTGCCCATCCCGACGCTGGAGCGCCTGCTCTCGGGGGCAGAGGCCTGCGGTTGGACTTCATGTCAGCACTGAAACAAGACCCAGGTGGCCTTACAACTCCTTTCAGACAAAACTCACACCTGAACTTGGAAACCACACAGGCAGCCTGGTGCCGGCAGTGTCTCCGCCCAGCGCTCACCTTTTAACCCCGAGCAGACTCTCGGGCCTTCCGAGTGAGGATGAGGATGAGGCCCGGTGCCGGCGCATCGTCCTGACAGGCCCGCCTTGGGGCCAGCGCAGGAGCCCCCACCCCCTCCAAGGACCCCCAGGGCTGGCAGGGGAGACAGTATTTTGTTGTTCACACTTGGAACTAGAGTATTTGGGGTGTACTTTCTTTCTTTACAAAAGAATGGGTCTTTGGCATTTCAGATCACTCCATTCTACTTGGAAACTTTGGAATCACAGGACCTTTCGTGTGGGTTTCATTTGGAGAAAAGAAACAACGAGGTTCTGTTTGTTTTCGTTGTTTGCTCTCCGCCTGTGGGAGGACTGACTGTCCATCGGGAGGAGCGACGAGAGGACGACTGCCCGTTTCCTCAGAGCAGCTGCTGATGAGCGTGCTCCTCCAAGTCGGGGTGGGACGGACAGGACGCGGCCGGCTGCATGGATGAACTGCTGGGCTGCGGGCTGCACTTAACTGTTTCTCTTTCTTGCTACTTTTTGTTGTTTCTTTGTGTTGACTTGGTCCCTGGCATAATTTTCCACTCTAAGTAAAACAAGTCTCCTCAGTATTGTGTGTTTAAAATAACAGAACTATTCCTACTTTATTGGGGGAGGGGGGTAATTCAGTCTTTTGTCTCACGCCCTCTCACCTGTCACCGCTCTCTTGGTGGCATGTCCGCTCTTTTAGGTGCTGTCACCGGGTCAGCACCGTCTGACCAGCTGTCTCCCCAGCTCTGGCCCACGCACCCAGAGCAGCTGCTGGGCTGAGCAGAAACTCCGTGTTAATACAAGAGCCTGAGAAGCAAGCGCCCTGTGGTTAAGCATGGGAAACATCTAGGTCGTTTTCTGATTTGTGATAGGAAATTCCATCACCCTTCGAAACTGAATCCGCTGAGGCCGACTTCTCTCCTACAGAAACAGAAGCAGGAGGACGGGAGACACAGGTGAGAGAATGGAAAGAAGGCACCTCCCGGCCTTGGCTCGGCTCCTCCGGAAGGAAACCACTCGCCTTTCCAGAGTGTCTGGGGGCTCAGGGCTGAGCAGCCGGGCAACTAGGAGGGCTCTGGCCTTATTGTGAATTTTTAAATGTCATCATCATAACGTTATTTATTTAAATGTAGTTATTTTGGTATTTAATTTTTTTTTAAGAGAGGAAAAAAACCCTGTATTTTCCTGATGGAATGAAATGGCTCAGAATGGTATATTTAGGCAATTTTAAAACATTTATTATTTACCTAAAGACCAAATATGATAAATCTGTTCTAAGTATTGTGTGTCAATCCAAAGTATGGAGCTGTCACAATGTTACTGCAGATCATGCATATTAAAAATTATGAAATTACTGCAAATAGCTTGGTTTATAACTCAGCCATTTAACAAATAAAACGGAACCAGCTGGTGAATGAGAGGCCACGTGTGTGACAGTGGCAGAATCTCACTTGCAGATCCGCGCACGGGCGGGCACCTCAGGGCGCAGCCTGCACCTCCAGGCACGTTACCAACACCCGCGTGTGTGTGGACTTGCCTCGTTATTCAGGTTTGCAGTTTTCAAAGTATTTCCGGCTGTGCTGTGGGGTCGGGTGCTCTGAAGGGCCCAGCCCCGCTTGTCATGCTGGTGCCCGACTGTGAGCTCCCGGCAGGTGAATGCACAAGGCCACCCGTGGGGAACTTGGCTTGGGCAGCAGTGACCGGACACACCGTGTCCTCCTGGAGGCGTGTCCACGCAGAAACCGACCTGTCGCCACCACGGAAGACCTGGGCAGATCCTTCCTACTCAGCCCAGTCCATCCGTTGGTTATTTCTGAGCCCAAAACATCGATCTTACGGGTCCGGAGGAATTTCTGCTGGGATGATGACCTAGTTCTCAGGTTTTAGAGAGGATAGTTTTCCACTCTAAGGCAGCTAGAGGGCCTTTTCCCTTTTCACTACCTCACCTAGTTGGCTCATTAATTGGCTCGTAGAAATTTAAAAATATTAAGAAGACCAGAGAAAACATGGATTAGAAAACTACCACATTCCAAGTAAGTGTTTTTCAATTTACCTCTGAATTCTCAAGAGCCCTCAACATACAAGGGCCACTGAGCTGTGTCCCTGCTGGAGGCCTGGTGCCAAACAGTGCATGTGTGACACAAGACCCCGCCCCCAGCTGTCCACTGGTAGCTCCTAAAGTCTTATTTCAAGAAACTTCTACTTTGACTTTTACCAAACATCTGAGCTCCCTGAGGGACTAGAAACGTCATTTCTGCAGCTTTGCCCTGAACCACACAAAAATACAAAAGGGAAGCTCACACGTGGCCTACAAGGCGTGGTACATTCCGGGTGTCTGCGTGCTGGCGCTGATCTGGTGGCAGGGTCCTCACGCAGACAGCTGAGCTCCGTAAATACACCGCCCCTCGTCCTCCACTGGAACCAGTGTAGCCGGGAGCCGTGGTCAGCGGTGGGGTGGTGCCAGGATTTGGAAGTCCGTGCTCTGTGACACGGGAGATAAGTGAATCTTCAGTCCCAACCGCCACTATCCAGAGGCATAGTGGTGGTCTGTGTGCAAAGATTTGAAATCTTAAAGTACTGAGTTCCTGAAATCCAATAAAATATTTTTATTAATTTTGATTGAATACAGAGTATCATTGTCATTTAATAAACTTAAACAGGCATTTCTTTGTTGGTTTTTTACTTTATGCTCTTTCCTGAGCACGCCAAAGGCCGAGAGCTCCGAGCGAGAGGGAAGGAGTCCTGAACAGCATGGCATGGAGGCTCCCGGGGAGCGAAATGAAGCTAAAAGTGAGCGTTCAAGGACAGAGTTCACATGGAATGTTTCATTCCCTACACTGATGCCCTAATTTAATTTAAAACAAGTCATATTCGCAGAGAAAACTGCTCATGATATACTCGGACTGTGTATCCCAACAAACGGAAGCATTCAAATGGTTTTCCCCAGATGTTACACTTGTAGTAGATGCTTTAAAAAGCATCACGATCTGATCGATCTGATCGTCCCCTTCTCCCAGGAAAAGCTCCTCTGGGGACTCATTAGGTTCACTTTGTGGAAGGTAAACATCCCAGAGGGGACTCTGCCTTGACTCACAAAAAGAGGTTGAGTGGAGGAGCCTGCACTTCCGATGCAGGAAACCATCCAGCAGGAGCCTGTGAGTCCTGCAGGGGCCGCCGCTCGTCTGCAACAGAAGACGCTGGCACAGGACAAGCCTCTGTGCAACCGGTCCCCACACAGCGAGTTCCGGGCTGGACGGGAGGTGGGAGACCCTCCAGGGCAGCGACTGGGACTGCAGCGCTGGCGCGGGGTTCGCACTTCCACGCTAGATGGGCACACCTCACCCCTGGCTGCTTCCCCCTGTGCTTACATCACAGCCACGCAGAAGAGACAAACCTGAGGGTGCAGGTGTCCTGACCTAGAAATGTCTGTCAGAGGCCCCGAGGGGTAAGCACACTGCCCCTGCGTCCCAGGGGCCACAACAACCAGCGCTGACAGTGGGAAACCCTCTCCCTCACGCTGGCCAGTGTCCTGGGAAGGACCCGACAGACCATGGGGTCATGCAGCTGCGTCCTGTGAGCCGAGGACGGGGGAGGGGGGGTCCCTGTCACGCTTCTCTCTCACCATTTTGGCCTCACAGTGGACCCAGTCACAGGGAATATGCAAAATCAAAGGGAGGCAAAAACCTGAGCATTTTAGCCAAAGGACTAGGAGAAGGGGTGCCTGGGAGTTGGCAAATGTGGGGGACAGCATGGCAAATATGGAATTAGAGAAGGATCCCTAAAGCCGCACAGGACATGCTGGGTTCAGCTGAGCTGCACAAGCCTGGCACTGACCTGGGGAGGCAGAGACCTGGTGACCTGACCTACCTCACGGGCTGTGCAGCTATGGGCCCGAAGAGCAGCACAGGCTTGGAAAACACTAGAACCACAGCCCGTGCCGTTTGCACCTAACAAAAAAGAATCAACATTCTCTAGAAGATTTTAATAGGACTCAGTCTCATAATATACAAATGTCTACAAAATAATCCAAAGATCCAGGAAAATCTCTAAAGCAGCAGTCGCCAACCAGCGGTCCGTGAGGTCCGAAAGGCTGGCAGCCGCTGCTCTAAAGGGCCCTGAAAATTAATAGATGTCAACCTCCGTGTGCTGAGGTAACGAGAAATACGTCAGCACTTTCTACAGCTCTAACCATTACAACATAGTCCACGAAGGGCAAATGCTCTTCAAATGAACCAAAAGTTACCCCAAATAGGATTAACTCAACAACAATGTCAAGACATCCTTGACCACAAGTGGACTTTCTTCCTTGAAGGCAGACAGGAACAGTGTCACCACACACAGAGCAACAACACGGAGTAACTGCAGATTTCTCCACGTAACTGGGAAACTTTAAAGGCTGACGTAACGGTCACTCAGAATACTATACCCACAGAAAATATCAGGAATAAAGATGAAATAAGATACTCTTAGATGAAGGAAAACTAAGAGAATTCTCAGTAGAACTCCAAAAGAAATGCTAAAGGAAGTTCTTCAGGCAAAAAGTAAACAATAAACTGGGAGCTTCAGGAAGATCCACAGAAATGGTAAATATTTTGTGCAAATATTAGAAACGAATTTTTCCTCTTCGGTTCTTTCTGTCTGACTGTAAGGTCTCTGCATTGCACTGGAAGTGATAAAACATTAATTCTGAAGGAGACTGAAAAGGTGCCTTTACTAATAATTCTTAGTGAAGATAAAGTGAAAAGCCAACAGGTAAGGTGAAACGGAATGCTGGAAACTTTTCAAGACCGACCTTAGAGACACGGTGGGTCCAGTCCCAGACCCTGCAGTAAAGCAAATATTGCAATACCTTGAGCCCCAGTGTCCTGATTTCCCAGTGCAGTTACCAGCTTACACTGCAGCCCACTGAGTGTGCAGCTCGGCGGTTCCCTGGAGACGGAGGAAACGGCAGGGATTTCTTCATGGGCCCGAGGTGTTGGGGGTGTGAGTGTGACTGCCCAGCACTGAACACACCACACGCACTGGCCTATACGCCTCATAATGGCTAACTGTAGCACATGAATTTTCCTACAATAAAAACATAGAAAACGTAAGGCCTAGGTATCACTAGCAAAGTCTACCAAACGTGGAAAAAACAAATTCTTCAAGAATTTAGCAGAACACCTACCTGGTGAGGATGCGGACCCCGCCGCGCGGACCTGGGACACGCGAGGCCACAGCACTCAGGAACTGTTCCTGCGGCAGCTTGGAAAGTTGCACCACAGAAATCGCACTCTTGATAATTCACCCAAAACAAAAGACGTGACATTCAGCACTTTCTCCAGGCAATTCTGAGTGTTCAGAGCAGCATCTGTATCTCCCAAATCTGGAAACATCCCAAAGGCCCTCAGTGCCATTTGGGGTTGGAGCAAGTTTTGCTGCCATTTCAGTCACTTGTAAAGGAAAGGGAGGCTTAACTTTAGCCCCGTAGCCAGAGGGCCCCTAATAATCTGGTAGGAGATGGAAGACGCACCCCTCCACCCCCCCGCCCATAACGTGCAGTTCCCAGCGCTCACAGAAACTCCCTCCCCGCCCCCCCCCCCCCCCCCCGGGGACATCAAGGGAAGAATCGTGAGGGGGGCACTCCCTTTTAGACGGAGCTCCATACGTTGGTTTATGTCTCCATTTGTGGGGTGTTTTTTTAGTTCTAGAGCGCTCGCGGAGAGGATCTCTGACGGGTACGGGATAGATTTGTGGGTTAAACCCTACGCAAGAAGAGATACTATCTCATCGCCACTGTGCGCGTCTATGAATTAAAACCCGTTTATTAAATGGTCAAAGCGGTCCCGAGGAGGGGCGTCCTCAAGAGAAGAGTGCTTCCCTCGCAACAGAAGGGCCCACATGTGATTTCTGGCAGGAGAGAAGTCATTTGGAGTGGGGGCACATCCCCATGAG